GTTTGCAGTTATTGTTGTCCTCCTTCAGAACAGAAGACTCCCATTTACTTATAAATGGTTATCAAAATTCTACGTTATGTTTGTGGCGGATTGCTACGCTAGTAAAGCCTGACCGACTCAGAAATCTCTATGGCAGATTCTCCAACATCTAGCTAGACTCCCAGAACAAGCTAAGCTATAGCCCAGCTATAAGGAAAACAGACGTGTAGCACGGAATACGTCTATTCAGTACGTATATCGATAGCGAAGTGTTTTTTGGCAAACCGATTAGATATCAGATAACTCTAGCATAATTCGCGTGAACATTAATAGCTTAATATTTCTGAGTAGTATTCTATAGCAGGATTTTTATTAGTCATTGATGAAGTGTCCCACATATTACATGATAAGGTTATTTTTTAATCAATCTCAGTAACTCGAAAATTCGAATGGTTGAAAAATTAATAGTTACAAGCCTTAAAGTACCAAAAATAAGTATTAAAACGGCCGTCGCCGATTTTTTTAAAACAAACACCTATCCCTGAGAAAATACTAATTAGGGCATTTTATTCACACTGACTAATGATGAGGCGTTTTCAGCAAAAGATACGCACAGATGATTTAGCGTTTAAATTGTTCGTGTCAAACCTCTGTTGCACGCAATTTCCCCGTCGGTTATGAAATAATCTACCCTCGTAAAACATTGAGTCCCAATTCGTGAATGGTGACGCTACGTTACGTGCTTATGTTTTGATGCTATTTAGTGAGTGCATTTGGGCTTAGTTATTCGTTGCGTTGGACTTTCTAACACTATTTTGCTGCATATCAATGTCAAAATCGAGTGTTACAGTCTTTATTTGATCGAAAGAATTTCTATTGCAAATTTTGAAAGTTCGCGCTATTCTTGTGTTGCATCAAAACAATTTCTAAATTAATATTTTAATGACAATTCCTATTAAGATATAACATTAATATTGCTTCAGATAAAATAAGAAATATCAGGTAATTAATCTGGGTCTTTATTTTCTTCATATTATCCAGAACTGATAAAATTTTATTAAATAAAAATGCATCTGCATTTCACTTTTTTGTTAACTTCCGTATATCGTTAATTGAATTTGGAAATTATAAGTGCTTCAATAGCTATCTAGGGAAAGTGCTGGAAAACGAAAAGTTCATTTAAGTCTATTTCAAATGGTTAAGAAAAGTGTAAATTAAGCATCAATCCAAAATAGATTAGTAGGATCGAAGGTTAAACTCCATTTCAAAACAGTTAGAAAGCTTACTTAACTTTGATTCAAAAGTTCCGTGATCAAAATTGCTCAGAAATGTGGGACTAATAATTAATATATGTATCACTGAATTTAATTGATTCTTTAAATACCTTCTCGTTAATGACATTGCTGGCATCTCGTAAAAGCTGCTTACTTTTCAGTTAGCCTTCAAATGGAGTTTCGGAAGTGCTCAATTTGTGCACCAACTTAAGAGAAATATGGCCGAAACAACGAAAGGTAGATCTTTCAGAACTTCTGAATGTTCAAAATAAATAAACTCGGTTTTTGACATGGACAAAATCACAGTTTCACAGTGAAAAGAATTATTAAAGACGTCCCTTTTTAAGTTGCATTTAGTCCTTTAACAATTCCGTTGAATATCATTGATCAAAGTGTTATTGTCGACGTGGACAATGAATTCAAAGCGAGTCACTTCAAGGGATCTATTGAAGAAGCACTAACGTTATATTTTTCGAGTTAATTTTAGCATAAAAACAAAAATTCGATACTTTTGACCAAATCTATCAACCCTGTTGCCATATTACACCTCCGTAGTTTGAACCATTCTTCTCCAAGTCAAGGAGCTTAGCCAGCAATGTTGGAATAATGGGACGATCATATTTTAGGCTTCGCATATTTGAAACAATTTTTCTTTACTAGGATCAAAAGCCTGGAGTTCATTGGAATTATGAATTTCATTGACGCATTATTGATATATATATATATATATATATATATATATATATATATTGCCAGACATTACTCCATCCTCCAATTGTGACTCTTGATATTGTTATGTCTACGGTCTCCATATTTTAACGAGTTCATAATCAATGGTAGTTGTCCCTGAGGTCTATATCATTAAATTTAAAATAAGATTAACTAATGATATTTTATCTACAAATTTTAAGCGTATTTTAAGTGGAAAAATAATTTTATTTAGTAAATGAAAAAGGTATTATCGTCAACCTGATTTCTGCCTACCTGAGGGAGTTCTTTTTTAAATTATTAGTTCTTGAAATGTACTTTAAAGTGTTCAATATTTTGGGGAAAAAAATTTTAACGATGCAAAGTACTTTCCATGGCAATTACAAATTTTAAATTTAATTTAAATTGTAGGATTTTTAGGGAAATTACATATATTTTATGACAATCACATCGCATCATGTAATTTTTTATTAAACCATTAACGCCCCTTGAAGTGTTTAGTCCTCTCAAAAAAGCTCAATTGATACAAAACTCATAATAGACGTTTTATTGCCGTTTGAAATATGTTCACTACATCTCTATGGCCTACCCTTGATAGTACTAAAATTCATCTCGTAGGCAACAGTCTGCAGTGAGACCCACACTCGAGTGCGGTTTAGTGCCCTTTTCAAAAAATAATTCGGCGTTACAGGATCGAGTGGATTGGTACTTTTGTTGAAAATTCGTACAAAGAAAGTAATTTAGACTGAGGGGCAACTATCTTTTAATTATGCATTCGACAAAAGGTTTTTTGTTTTATTTCTCGTTTACAATTTAAAAGTTCAAGTCTCCAGTTACTTTGAAAGCCCCGATTTTAATCGTAACTCACTTTTGGGGTCAGTAATAGTAATGAGCATCAAATTTCCCGGATAAATTCAGAATAATTGTACTTCGGAAATTGGCAATTTGCAAAGTAGATTGAATTTAAATTGAAACATAAGAAAGTGAACCCTCGAAACCGATGTTTAGTCATTTTGACCTTTACAGTTTGATCGACAGGTCAGTACTATCAAATATGGTTGAAACATAGTAGAGCTCAGGGAATATTCGTTTACAAACACAGCTTTTGAAACCTCAAAGTGGCATAAAATACTATGCATTTTAGAATTATCTATAACCACCTATAAATCTAGTCACCAACATTGAAAAATTTATAAAAGACTATAACGCAATTTCTGATTTGGATATGCCTAATAACCAGCTGGGAACTGAGGATATAGGTTCCTTTTACACAATTCACTCAAGTTTTTTAAAACGGTGGCAAATAAATTTCAGTTTAAAAATAGTTGAGTATCAAGTTGATTGTAGTTTGGCTTTGGTGCAAAATGTTTTATAAAATTTCCGCTAATCCTGTTTTCAAGTTGTCAAGTTTATTATTGCTGTAGCCTACTGACTTCATTGTTCCATACTTTACCGGATTATTATCAATAGAACGAACAATGAGAGCATTGATTAAAGTAAATCACGATCAAGAAACAAAATAAAATATTTCCTAGCCTGCGCCTATTACGATATTAAAGTAAAATAACCTCATTTATAATTAACGCAATGTTATTCATCTTCTTAACTGGAAGATTCAGCCTCTTGCGAAGCAAAGATTAAATACAATTTATGTGCTCTGTACTACTGTTAGCTTTAACAAAATTTGTTTTTAAGTAAATGAAAGGTGGCGTAAGGCATAGTGAAATTCAAGCAAATATGGTGGAAATATGCATAAAAGAGTGATTAAAAACAAGACAGAGGAAGAGTTGGAAGGCACTACGTCACCACAGGAGACGAGAACGAAATTTGATTAACGATATCCTGCAAATGAGATCATGTGGGATGAATTAATGAGGTGACCCCGCACTTTTCCACAACGCGTCAAAATTCCAAAAATAATTTTGGCTTGAAATTTACTTCAATTAATGTGCTGAATGGAAAACAATTTCGAGAGACATTTAAAAGATTATTTTAACAAAGTGAATGCTAAAATTTATTTAATAAATATTTTGTGGTTATAATTCTACTCAGGTGTCAAATTTGATAAAGATTCAACCATCACATATATTAAGATTGTGCAAATCAAATATTATTTTCATTTTTTATAATATAAATGCACGCAATGACGTTGCTTATTAAATTTTTCCTGAACGTTAACTGTTCCTTGCCAAAATATGGTCAGTAAATTAGTAACTAGTTCGTTTTATCTTTAAAGTAATCTCAAGCAGGTTTCTTCATTTAAAACGTTATATTGTCGGCAAATTTTGTGACCATTTAAATCAATAGATCAATATAATCAATAACAGCAAAACTTCCGTTCTGGAAAATGAATTAAATGAATCTCCACCGAATTGAAAACCAAGATCAAACGAATGAACCTATTAAAAGGGTACACAATATTATTCAAGTTCCTAACAAATCCTTCCGTTTCAAAAGTGAGATCAGTATTGACTGCTTTCCTTTCACTTCGATTAATGCCCTCTTCAAACACATATTTCATTAACGCTTTGAAAAATTATCTGTACCTGTTAAATAGACTAAATCAACAGAAGAATATAACGCAAAAAATCAGAAAAAATCTGATTTGTATCACAGACTTCCATGACAGGTACTCGGCTTATGATTTTTTAGCAGTGCATGTCATTTAGTAACTGATAACATAGAAAATTGAAAAGATAATTTTCAACTAGAATTAAATCATTTAAAACAGTGCGATTTCAATCTAACATTCCATTTAACGAAAATGGTAAAACGACAATTTGGCTCAAGGTTTGATTTTCGGTGGTTGTTGTTCAAATAAGGCTTTAAGAAAATCCAACTCCAATTGCAGTTTCGTGCTCTTTTCTGCTTTAGCCACCGCTACGACTGCATCGTCGTAGTACTGACGTGCCTAAAAATTAGAAAAGAACTCCATTTTACTCAAACCGTTAGGTTCAAGATACTAGACTGACTTATTGCTGAAATAAAAGCATTATTCGGCAGTGGGAATTCAATTGTAAAAGCATAGAATAACATGGTTATATCTGATATTCTCAAATAGCATGCTAATCTGTCTAAATCATCGGGTTTAATTACAAACGTTTTTTGTTCAACTACTTTCTACTGTCTACCTAAAATTGAGATAAATTTAGAAGGCAAGACTATTTGATATCGCTCGTAAAAACATGCGTATAAATTAAGCATTAAACCTAGCATATACTAAACGTAGTAAAATGTCCAACTACCGAAACCCAACTTCATTAGTGCCATTTTATAAAATACTCAAGGGTTTTTACACTGTTGGATCTGTTTATTTTATTTGGATATCTTCTCTTATTTGAAAATTTTGTTTTGGCCCTGCCTTGGACAACATTTAATTTTAATATTGATATAACTATTAAGCAAAATCATATCTCTAGCCCTTCATTACTCTATCTTTCACATTATGACTTTAGTTGGTCAACTCTAAAGGTTAATTTAATTAAATTTGCAATCACAATTATATTAATAATCACAGAAGACAAACTTGGCTTGCAGAACGTTGGTGGGGGTAAATGAGCACAAAGGAAGGTAGATGAAGTTAAGTAAGTTGAATTCACCTTAAGTTGTTCATCAATAAGCCAGAAGAGCATTGAGAGTGCCAGCAGAAGTCGAGCTCTTGGATCTGGACGTCCGGCAGTTGAGTTGTTGAATTCCACCCGATCCCATGTGGCTCTGTGCGCGCGATATTTGTTTATCGCTGTCAGCACCTTCTTGGCTTCCGCTGCATCCGTCGGATCTTTAATAAGTAAGCAGAAGCAAAAGACTAGTGAGCACACAACTTACATTATTTGCATATATTATTTCAAGGTTTCATATGAGTCACTAAACCTCTCCAACTTTTACCAGCTCCAGCATTTTTTGCTCCCAGCACATATGTCTGTAACTCGAATCTCTAAGTGTATTTTTTTGGTAAGTAACTGAAGTAAGTTTAGTTTGATTGTGTAGTTTTAGGTAATTATCTGGTGAAATACCTCAACAAGCAGCCTAATTTCTTTGATATAGATTGGCTAAACAGGTTATATCTTTCCTATCTATAAACATGTAATCATATCTAAGACGAACTCTTTCTTACAGCTTGCTATGCAATGCCGAGTTTGGTCCGCTTGATGAAATAAAGTGAACTAAAAGTAGTATTGAAAATTTGTTTTGAACTGAAAATATTTGATCAGCATTTCGTCAGTCTAGATGTTACACATTAGAAACGGTAATTGAAAATGTTTGAAACTGGTCTACAAGAGCTAATATACTCTCACAAAAAGTCGACAAATATTATTTGGATATCAATTAAGAGGAAGTAGATGAAAAAGTACTTTCAAGGAAACTTAAAAAATAATCTGAGAGGCATTAAGTAAATGCGTAAATTTTCCTACTATTTTTAATACTATGCATTTCACTATTGGTACTACGGAAATCAACTTCCATTTCCTCTGCTTCAGTCTAAAATCCCAATTAGAGCCTAATTGTTTCTCTTAATTACGTCAAGTTATTTGCCAAATACTTTGCCTACTTTCAAATTGAGTATTCCCATTTTTACATTTATTACAATTTGTAACGAAGCAAACCAATTCTCCAACTAAAGCAAAAAAAAGAAACATTTCTTTAATAAGTCTTTTTATGTTTGAACTTCACTTCTCTTATCCTTTATACATAGTAGTTATCATAAATATGACATTTTCCTATATTTCTAAATATATTTGATAGTTTCGTAGTAGAGGTAAGTAGTTTGAAGTCAAATATAAGAGGAAAGTGGATTACAATGTCTAAAAGTATGTACTCTATAGGGGCTGGAGGAATTTGTTTTCCCCATGATGTTGTTATCCCTAAAGCCCAAGAGGAGCGATGAAAACGCTTTCTTAAATAGGCTTGGAATTAACTACCTGTTCTTTTAACCTCTAGGAAGTTATTTGACCTAGAAACGAAAAAGTGCATTTAGTTCACAAAGCCGGTTTCTGTATCGTGCCTAAGTAACCAATAGCTTTGCCCCAAAAGTAGATTCCATGTTTCGTGCCATGTACTTTTAATTAGGAAAATGAATTGTCTGCAAAAAGGGACTGTTTAAACTGTCTGTCATTCCATTTGTGTTTATATTGAAGAGAGGGGGGGGGGGGGGGGTGGTTGAATAACTGTAAGATGAAGCAAAAGAATATTTCCAGTCCTGTCATTAAAAACAAATATTTGATCCCATGACACGGTCTTGACACTCTGTAAATAAGTGAACAAAATTATTTGTTTAAATGGAGCCTACGAGCGCATTTTTAAATCGGTCTCGCTTAAATAATAAAAATTGAAATAATCGCTATCTTGTATAATCGTGTTCAAATTCAACTTATACTTCAAATGGCTGTGTTTAAAGCAGAGAACTTTCACCTTAAAATTTCAAAAACCCAATCTAAGGCACAAATGATCAATGACCTTGCAAAATTTCTTGATCTTGACTTTTCCTTTCATTCAGTTCTTTTCCATTCACCCTTAATAGGACCTTTTGACTCTTGTTAGAGTTCAGAAGCCTTCGTTCATTAGCAATATATAATTTAACGAGTCACAGGTTCTAGGACAAAACTTTCATATCGTCCAACGGTTGCTAGTAAAAATACCAACCTAGGGGAAGGGGGTGAGGAAATGCTTTTGCGTAAATCCTTCTTCCTTCTTCCTTCTTACATGAAAGCAGCGCTCCTCCACAATCCATTCCGGACATTTTACTCAACTCACTTTTCAACTACCCAAATTCAGTGTCTTTTATGAGATTGGAATTGAAATATCGACTTCTGAAGATTGTAATATGAAGTATGCCACGTTATGAGCCCTTTTTATGACTTTATCAACCATAAAAGCGCCCTTTTAATGAAATTAAATGAAATACGTACTATATAGTTCTCATAGAAAAAAATTCTTGTACCTCTGTTAAATACATGAGTTTAAAAAACATTAATTTTTAAAGTTTCTCTAAAATGGAATGTTGAAATATGCAGTAAGTATAAAATGGACTTTGAATAGACCTCTGTTCCAATTTCACAAAATCCTAAAGAGCTTTAATTTATTTGAACACCTATGGTTCTTCTCAGGAAAAAATTTATTAAGAAAGGTTTGATAAAAATTTAATCAGCCTTTTAAGTAAAAGACGAACTACGGGATAAAACGTTCAAAAAGTCGAAAAATGTACAATTATTAACTCAATCCATAAGTAGGTCAATCAAAAAATTTCAAGTCTGATCCATGGACAAGAAGAAAGCGGAGAACATGTCAGCAAAAATGCTTGCAACATGAATGCTTACGATCATCGACATGTTTACAGCTCTATCACTGCAAGTTTATTGAACCATATTATTCAAAAGAAAGTAATAAGTCCACATGATATTCATACACTTACCAAGTTCCTTTTCTTCAACAGGTTTCAACTCATCAAATTCTGGTCCACATTCTGCGGGTACACTGGGTATTCGATACTTGGTTGAAATGATTAAAAACAGGTGATTAGCCCAGATATGTACCACCCTCGAATAGAGATCATCGGCAACTCGATCTTTTTTAGCAGGCTTTTTCAACACTGACGGTTTCTTGTAGATGTGTGAAAGAAATAGAGGTGAGCTTGAAGACAAGGAGATATCTTCACATGAGTCATGCTTTTTTATTGGCAGGGCTGGTGGCATTGGTCGACATGAGTCGAAACCCGGTATCTGTTGGGTTGCTGAAGGATTTATCATACCCCTCGGGCAAGCGGCGGCTGTGTTCTCTTCATTCGGTGGTTCCTTCTCGCATTGGTAGAGGCTATAATACACCTCAGCCATTTGAAAATAACCCCCAGCAGTTCGGATGTGGCTTGCTCCAAATGCACAGGAGGAGTAATAAACCTACAATCACAATTTTATAGCAAAATTTAACCCCTTGGAATTAAAAAAGACTTGATGATCGTTGCGTCCAACAAAGCTGACCTTCAATTTTCACCACCTCTACCATTTTGAACGCAATCTGGTCTAATACAGAAAGTCATATAACCAAAGAAAATATTACAAATCGATGGCAAACCAAAAAGCCTCCCTCTATCCATGAACCCATTAGCAGACGCTGATGTAGTGAGTTTCACCCAACTACTCGACTACTTCACACCTTCAGAACAAATACGCTCACTGGCCCTTAAGAGAATCACTGTCAACTATCCTGCAGATCAATGGCTCCAAGTCTTCACAGATGGGTCATGCATAGAAAACCAAGCAAACGTTGGTGCAGGTGTCTATTCTGAACTCTTCTCTTTCTACGCAGCATCGGGATACAATAGATCCGCTTTTGAAGGAGAAATAGAGGCCATTAGGATAGCACTATGCCAATTCTGTTGCCTGGATACGAAATTCACCAAAGCGGTGATACTTTCGGACTCACAGTCAGCAATAGACTCTATTGGAAACAGAGAGCCACCCAAAACAGCTGAGATAAAGGAATGTAGAAAATTCTATCGCTGCTAAGATAGAAAAACAAAACAGTGGTCCTAAAATGGATTCCTGGTCACTGTGGCATTAAACGCAATGAGCTTGCTGACACACTTGCTAAGAAGAGGACAACGATTTTGCAATGCATGGACCGGCCAATGTCTTCCCATACAATGAAGGCCTTAATCAGGAGAGAATTCCAGACCTCAAGGTGCAACGAACTTAAAGCTCGAGAAAAGGAGAAACAGTGGACAGTGGCACTCTCCGATATAGCCGACTGGCCAAGAATCGAAGCCGTTGCTGAGTTTAGACTACGTTCCGGACACGATTGCCTGGCAAAACACCTTCACAGTTTGAGAGTATACACTCAACCCACATGCCCTCTGTAACCTACTGGAGGAAATGGAGAATACCCACCTAATTCGGTGTCCAGCCCTAAAGACAACGACGGAAATCCAGAGATGTTGGGAAGCAAGAAGACAGTTAATGAACTGTTATTAATTAAATGCCATAAATGTACCCCCACCCTTGGGGGAAGCTGAAGTCAAAGTTTAAGGGTTAATGATAAATGTCATAAAGTCTGCCATTTGAAATAATAATAAAATAATACCATTTTGACTTGCGAATTGTACCTTATTATAGAAACACAATAAAATTACAACTCATCAATATCTTCTAATATTCCACTGTCTACTACCTCACAATCGAGTTCTCGATCATGCCTTCCGAGTTCCCAGTATTTATAAAATTTAACCACCATTGTCATAATCTCTATGTGCATCGGATAAGGAACGTTGTGGAAGGAACTCAGAAATTGATATACAACATTAGATAAAAGACATAAAGATAATTTGACTTGTCAGTCTAAATCGAGATAAATTTCTCGTTGAATTTAATTCAAACCAATGCATTTTTTCAGACTAAACTATCTTCGAATGACTTCGGAATGAAGGGACTTCAATTTTACTGATCTCTCAATTTGCAGCATACCTTTGATCCAGATCTCAAATTAAATCATTAACATTTAAATCACGAATGCTGAGGTCCTTTGGAAAGTATCTGATTGAACTAATTTAATTTGGTCAAAATAATAGGAACATTTCATCAGAGCTCCTGAATGCCTATTTCATCAAAAAGATTTTTTCAAAAACTTTTTATGCCTCAACTCATACGAAGACTGGAGCGCTTATTTTTGTTCTCGTTGAAACATATCTCCATGTCCACAAATCTGATCAGAACATGCACAACAGGTGCTTTCTAAAGTGTAATTCTTTCTCCATTTTTGCGTAAAGGAAGTAAAATTTGAGCTTTTATTGCACTTCCAATCGGCAAATTTCTCTCTATTGAAAAAAATTATAAGAAAATATTTTTTTTCTAATATGTCAATAGTTCAAAAAATTTCTTTCATTATGTTATATTGAATGAAATTTGAATCTTAAAGTTTTTACTTGCATATTCTATTTTAAATTAAATTTTATAATTTAAAAAAAAACTCGAAGACAATTTCTGTCATTTAGTCCCCAAAAGTCACTGATTGCTATTAAAACTATTAAATAAATTATTCAATGTGGATTACATCAACAAAATGTTGAAGTGTAGTACTACTTTCGTTAACAATGACTATGAACTAACTATTGTGTATCCTGGTATAGTTAAAGCTTATTGTAAACGCAGTCTTGATGGAATCAGGCAGACTACATAGTATTAGAACATTGTAGTTCGTTAGTTAATATACAATCATATCAACTTTTAGCCATTTAGAATAGCAACACTTGAAGGTTAACTAAAACGAAGGGAAATCGCAGATCACTCATGAGGATTTTGAATCAGACAAAAAAGCAAAATGGTAGAGTTGATCTCACATGAAAGAAAGTACATTCCCTCCTTATCGACTGTCATATCTTTGTGCAAAGCTGAAAAGCTTTTTTGTCTATAAGGTATACTTCATAAAAAATTGTGTCAAGACTAGAGATGGGAACAATTACGCTTTCACTCCTTATAGGAAGCAATTCAACACAACTTCGATAATCAGGTTTGAATGTATAAAATGCTTAAAATGTGCAGTAAGAGTTCATGAATCTAGACATGCGTTTAAACCCGTAAAACATTATTTGAACACAGAGAGCATATGACAAGGAATATTATCAATCTGTGCACTTAAGTGAACTACTTATTAATAAATAGTAATATAGCATGCATACATCTTGAGCAAGGCATTCCAGGGCCAGTGAATATTCGCCTTTAGCAGCCAAAAGCAATCCTAGTTTCCTCTGAACCGCTGAACGTATGGCATCCGAACATTCGTGTTCTGTCTTGAACATAATCCACTGAGCCTGAGCAAGATAAGATTCTGATTCTTCTAGTTGCTTAAGGCCTGAAAAGTATTGAAAAATCACTGTAATTACTACAGATGAAACTGCTCATGGCAAATGGCCATCCACCGAGTTTATTTTCTTCAAATAATTTCAAATTGCTACTAGCATATAATGAGTAGAACATTTGAAGGTCCACTAACCTATATATGCTTCAGCTATTAAGAGATAAGGAATAACCAGCTCAGCGCTTGAAGTGCCATAGAGTTCAGAAGAAAACTTCAGACACTGCAGAGCAGCAGAAAGAGCAGTTTCATAATTTCCATTAAAAAGGAGTCTCATCGCTGTTGTTCTTGCCAGCTCTACCATTTTCATCTATATACATGAATAAAATAAGTTGGTAAAATACTTCTTAAAGACAAGGCCAGTTTACCATGACTCACTCTGGCGCTCTGAATTTCTTCCATCTTCTTTCGGCGTTCTTCTTCAGGACAAGTCACTGTTGAAGGTTGACGTATCCACTGTAAGAGAGTACATATTTGGTCGTGGATGCCAACCCAGTCAACTTTTTGGTGGTTTATAGAACTAAAAGATAGAAATTTATTAAAATAGAGTTATAAGTATTTGTTAAAATTTATATTTATCGCAAAGAATGGAGAATTACGCAAAATACGTCAAAACATACGTACATTTATAGAAATAAAGCATAAAATGAACGTAAAATGAAATAAATTACCAGTAGTAGGTAACTTTACAAACAGAACATTGCAAATGAGCTGGTTTTGAGCACAATTCACATTTTATATCCGATTCACGCGGATTGTATAATGGTGAAAATGCTTTTGGAGGTGGAGGTATCTCGGACCTAATTTCTGCCATTCTGATACATTTTGCAATGTTCTTATCTTGGCAATTATTTGAATTACTGTCTCGATTAAGTGTGAAACATCCTTCACACTCCATTATTTATTTATATCATAAAAGTAAAAATTTGTAAAACCGCGTTTATATTACCATGAATATGAATATAAACGATTCTGGAAAAATGTTAGTCAAAAAAGAGTTTCAAAAACGCTATTTACATAAGAAATTTAAATGAACAATAAAATTTACTGGTTATACCTATTTATTGAAAATATTACTACTAAACTTTGAATTTAGTAAATGTAATAAAAATATTTCTCTCCAATAATTATATCATAAATACAGATTTCATATCAATTTTTGCTTTTAATATAGATACATTAATTTTATTTTCTGCAATAAAGTAATTGCTTGAAAAATTTTATTAAATAATATAAATTTCCCTATTATTTGTCATTGTTTCATGTTGTCGCTCTCTATATTATATCTAAAATATTTGTAAAATATTTATCAAACACGAATCTATAGAAACTGTTGAGTAGAGTTAATGAATGTCGATTTACTTTTATAAATTAAATGAATAAAATTTGACTTTTCTCATCAACTACATATTCCAACCCATTACAACTAATGTCTCTCGTGAACTAATCACGTTTATTAGGTTTACCAGTTCCTTTCCAACTGGCTCTAATTCATACTACAATATTGCACCGACCATACCACGTAGAAAGCACCGGTTCTCGTCCGATCACCGAAGTTAAACTACGTCGCGCCGGGTTAGTACTTGCATGGGTGACCGGCTGGGAATACCCGGTGTTGCTGACTTTATGGGGTGCGCGATAGACTTACCTCCTCGTGGTGCACCCTGGACAACGTATTTTCTTACTGCAAAAAAGTCTATCAATCGGCATTCGTTTTTGACTTCGATTAATTATGATTAGCTTTGAAAAAGGCTATAAGAAAAATCGCCCTCGTCAGGGCGAATCACAATGTCTTCAGATCCTCCAGTGGAATGCTGGAGGA